AAATGTAAAAATACAAATTTTAAACACGTTTACAGAGATAAAAACATAATTAGACTATGTATTTATTTTTATGAATAAATATTAAATTTACTTTGAATTCTGCTTGGGGTTAAAATCTAACAGTTTCTCAGAATTTTTATTTGATACAGCTATATGTTTGAATTACAGTGAATAAAATGCCTATAGAAAATAACTATTATAATTTAAATTAATTAAATTAATATGATCTTTAAGTGTTCTCCTAAGCACTGTTGCTATAATTTCCCATTCATTAGAACTTTTATTTTTGGGATCATAACTGACCTTACTACTATTTTGAGAAGTAGAATTAATGAACATGTATTAAAGCTTCAATCCCAGCTTTTAAAGTGTAGCGCTCTTTCTGGTAATCTGAAGCTACTTTTTGTTCATTGTTAACTTTTAAAACATTTTAAGACAATCAGTATAATTTAAGGTCTTTTATGCCCGCAGAATGCATGTTTTACTCTTTCTACCAGAGCAGTAAGGCAAGAAAGCAATTCCCTTTCCAAATCAGATATAAGAACTACTGTAAATAATCCTAATAATAGGAAATTAAGGCTGCTGTGATTTTACTGTATCTTTAAGCCGTAAGATTAGCAGTATTATTGCCTATAGAGGTTGAATTTGCCTGTATTTGGGTCTAAATCCCAGGGCACAAATATTGCCATTTCTACCTATATGTCTAAGATCTTTTTTTTTTTTTAAATAACCCACTATGTAAAATTCAAAGGGATGTAAATCAGGTGGTATTCACTAGAAAAGCTAATGAATGCTACCTATTATTGTGAGAATTGTCAGCATGTTTTAAACTGTTTTATGGGACAGCAAAGAAAACAAATTTGTCATGGTGGAAAAACATGGTAACTTACCTTGATGATATCTTCTGAACATGCATTGAGAACTGAAGCAATATGCCCTTAATCATGGATTCTAATAAAGAGACCTCTGGTAGATAAAAAAAAATTAAAATGAAGTCAGAAAAAACTACACAAACCTGAAACTGCATGAATTTGCTACAAGAAGATACATGCTTGAGGTGGCAAGAATAGATTTCAGGTGTCTGGTTCGTATTGGCACACTCTGTCCCAAGTTCAGCACACAGACATGCAGGACACATGCCAGTCAGCATGGCTCCATTATAATTTTTAAATATCTGTTGTGTCTTGGGTAGGAGGTAGGTGATATCCACTTGTGTAATCCCGTGTTTCTGTGTACGTATGTATACATTTATATGTTTGGTGGTGGTGGGAATTTGTCTGGATGTGAGTCCCATATACCTGAGTGTGCAAGTGTCTTTGTGAATAAACCAAGGGATGTGAGATTTCACTCACTTTTCTCCCATTCTTCCTTACACTTTAGGTTCCTATGCCGGCGCTGTGATTGCAATGCCTTTAGCTGGCATTCTTGTGCAGTACACTGGCTGGTCTTCAGTGTTTTATGTCTATGGTATGTTATATTTCTATGCAATAGAGTTAAATGAAATGTGCATAGGCTAAAAGAAAAGTGGTTGCAGACAATGAGATCAATCACTAAATTCATTTCTATGTTTACTTACTTATTTTCTTCTCTTAAGAATCCTTTCCTTGTGTTCTGAGAGGATTAGAAAACACTTCATCTCTGTTATTTTTCTTAGATTGCTATTTCTTGTTTTAAAAAGCAACCACATTGCTGACAGGAACTTTGTCATTTAGTAAATCTATGTCCTTTATTATGAAAAAATATTAAATTATCTCTTGATTAAAAGCTGATGAAGAGGAAAGAGTTAGGCAGCACCCACCTCTCTTTGCTATTGCCTTCTTGGTCATTTTCCTGATTCTGCCTCTTCAAGATTGAATAGGGGAAGATAGCTGAAAGGGGATGGTGGTGCTGATGCGACTATTCAATTCCTTGATGAAATATCAGCAGTTAGCTGCTGTAGCAGCATATCTCAGTCCTCATTTCCCCAGAATTAAAGGAAATTAAGCCTCCATGTTGAAATAAAATATGTAATCCTAAATCTAAGACACTCTTGATATTCACCTTGTAACTATTTCAAAATATCCCTACAGTCTTTCTTTTTAAGAGGCATTTTTTAATAATGGTAAAGGAAAAATAAAGGAAAGCTGGATCTCAACTAATATTGTCAGTGATTAATATCATCTTTGGACATTGCCAAGAGAATCTGAAATATTAATGAAGTCATGTGGTAGAACAGTATCTGGCTGATTCTAAATTTGCCCTGATTCATTCCCATTTTGAAATGTTCTCATCAGGACAAATTATTAGGCTTGTAGAATGTTATTAAATGTCACTTATCATAGGGACACTTTTTGTGGTTCAAAAGCCATGGATGGGTTTTGGATCCATGAATGCCCTAAATTGCAAGCCATATATGTACTTGTGAACTTTTTTTTTCCTTAGGGAGATTTTTTTAAATCAGATTTTAATTTATACCATTCATTAGATTTTCAAAGGAGTGCATAATTCAACAAAGTTTAAAAGCACTTGTTTCATAGGATGTATTGCATAAGTTGATATGGCTATCCATTAAATACTTTGTTTTGTGCCTTAATCTATTACTTAATTGAAGATATGTGACCTTAAAGTAAGAATAGAAATTTAAACAAGGCACTCATAAACAACCAATATCATTATTTCAAGTTATATCTCATTTGATATTTATCATTGAATGATACAAAATGTAAACAGATAATCTGAAAATGTCATATCATAGTGCTTGCTTATGCTTACTTGCTGTGTGTAACAATAACTTGGTCTGGAGTCACACATTCAGTTGTCATATTTTAAAGATTAAAGAGATAAGATCAGTATAGTGATGTTAAGTTAAAAAGGATAATACATATAAAGTAATTAGCAGCATATCTGGCACTTTAGGTGAATTCCATTAGTGGTAATGATAATTCTTATAAAATTACAGTATCTCTCATTTTTTGAGTGCTCATTTTGTGCCATCCACTGTGCTTGTTGATTTATACATTACCTCCTTTGACTTTTCTATAATTCCATAAAAATGAATTATTATCTCATTTTGTAGTGCAAGTTTAGAGAGATTCAGTTACTGATTGGATCATATAGCGAATGAGTGACACAGTCAGGATTTGAATCTGGGAGTTATATTCTGTAAACACTATATTATATTGAATTTTTAAGCACTATCTGAACCTAAATCATGTTTACTTCAATGTTGAGTAATTAAAAGGGACACAGCTCATCAGAAGTTATGTATGGTGTTAAGGAACACTTCTTAGAGATCGGATAGGCCAAAGAAAAAGTGTTGTAGGGATCAGGTGCATTTAGATTGTTACCCAAGGGACAAAGAGAACAGTGTGAGGGAAAAAAATGAAGTGGTCAACTGCTGGGAAACTAGAATAAATCACTTGGAATTCTTGCTACTATTAATGCTTACAGATTTATATTGCACGAAAAGGACATGTTTTAATGGTAAGAAGAGGATGAAAAAGGATTTACAGTTTAGGGCCTTGGAATTTATAACTTTCACCTGCCCAAAGAAGGATCAATAGGCAATACTATGTGGTCAAAATAATATGGCATACAGTCACGAAAAGTGTTGTTACCACATTAAGTACAGAGGCCCACTTTTTATGTAATGTAGGCACTCATGCTAAAATAATCTAGGTTTTATTTAATAGTCTGTTTGCCAGATCTGGAAGTGCTAACAGGAGAGGGAAATGAGCAATTCTTTTCTCTGGAAATGAAACCACTTTTGTATATTCTAGGCAGGCAATAAAGAAAAGGATTCACCCCCAGAATAATTCTTTGAGGACAGGAATTTTGTTTTGTTCATTATATTTCTCGCACTTAACCAGAGTGCCTAGAATGCTAACTGCTAAGTACTGTCGGATGAATGAATACCTTCCAAACTACACCGTTATAATAATTATTTATGGCTTACTGTATATCAGTGCTATTTCATAGAGACAAGGAGATAAAACCACAGGCCTGACCTTTAAGAAGTTTGAAGCATAATGGCAAAAGAGAAGAAAAGATGGCTAACGTCAGTTGGAGAAACATAAGCTTGAATTCTTCTTTCTAATAGAATGTGTTTGTCATGAGATGATTGCAGTTTTATTCCAGCACATCACTGTTAAATGGAAGTATTTGTGATAGATTTGACTTTCTCCTTCTGAACTGTTGCTTGCAGGAAGCTTTGGAATGGTCTGGTACATGTTTTGGCTTTTGGTGTCTTATGAAAGTCCTGCAAAGCATCCTACTATTACAGATGAAGAACGTAGGTACATAGAAGAAAGCATTGGAGAGAGTGCAAATCTTTTAGGTGCAATGGAAGTAAGAACTTTATTATGGTGTATATTCCTATCTTATTCCCATCTCGCTCCCATTGACCAACCAAACTATCTCACAAGTTCTTCTTCAGCAAAACTAATTTGGTATCAGTCATAACTTATTTTTTTTTGGTCCATCCATATTCTCTGACTTAGGAATAATAGCTGTTTCCTCCATCTGTCATTTTTTTTTCCTTTATCCTTTCTTAAGCATTTAAAAATGTACAGTGGGTTATAACTATAATGGCAAACCTAAACAATATTTTTAAACAGTTCAATATGGTCTATAATTTAAACAAATACAATAAATAGTTGTCCATTTTAAATTTTAAAAATCCAAATCAGTCATGAAAAGGGCAATTTTTGGTTTATTGAATACAGTAGTGCCCCTGGATCCTCAACAGATCTATTCCAAGACCCCCCGGGTTGCTTAAAACTGTGACTAGTACCGAACCCTACATATAACGTTTTTCCTATACACACATATCTATGATAAAATTTAATGTGTAAATTGGGCAAGTGATTGACCACAGTGACTAATATTAAAATAGAAGAATTATAACAATATACTGTAAGGAAACTTAAGTTAACTGTGCCCCCCGCTTCCCATAAAATCTTATTGTACTGTGCAAGTAGTAACTGAAACTTCAGAAAGCGAAACCACGGTTAAGGGAGGACTGCTATGTTCTAAATGTAGGTTTAACACATGCGTATTTATGTCATCTGTGGTTTAGGAGATACTGAAGCATTAGAACACCAATAATAGACAGCTGATATAAAATAATTATAACAATTTAATTATTTTTTTGATAAAATATCATTATCTTTCAGGATTATTATTATGAATATCAAGCATCATAAAGGCAATGTTGTGAAGCCCTTTTTTCCTGATGATTTGATTCCTTCTGATTTACTTAAAAAGAGAGAAAACATAGTTCTATTTCAATAATGCAAATGTTGTATTCTATGTAACATTGATATATTGTACATAGTAATTAATACAAAAGCCTCCCGATATTATATTTTAAAAAGAAGGCTGGGCATGGTGGCTCACACCTGCAATCCCAGCACTTTGGGAGGCGGAGGTGGGTGGATTGCCTGAGGTCAGGAGTTCGAGACCAGTCTGGCCAACATGGTGAAAACCCGTCTCTACTAAAACTACAAAAATATTACCCAGGCCTGGTGGCGTGAGCCTGTAATCCCAGCCACTCGGAAGGCTAAGGCAGGGGAATTGCTTGAACCAGGGAGGTGGAGGTTGCAGTGAGCTGAAATCACACCACTGCACTCCAGCCTGGGTGACAGAGGGAGACTCAGTCTAAAAAAAAACAAAAACAAAACAAAACAAAACAAAAACACAAAAATACACTGTTGAGTAAAAGTAGTGTATTTAGACATATTGAAGCATTTGGTGATCTGATCAATGATAGTTTCCTTATGCTAAAAGCTGGAAGATGTCATACACTAATTGAAGAATCAATGCCCTTTACATATTATGCATTTGTTCTTTTAAAACAAACACCTCTCCCTCCCTATTCTAGGTGTGGTTGATTCTAGCTCAGATTCTCTACTTCATTTGTTAGAGAATGCCTGTCTTTGATGTCTCATCTTAGGTTAAAAAAAAAAAAAAAAGTCTATCACCCATTATTGCTGAGCCAAATTGGCCTTTAATGAATAAGAAAAATCCCATATCATATATAATTCAGAAGTTGAACTTCAATGGTTTAAACAAATCTTTACTGTGTAGTTGTTCCATGAGTTAGCCTGGCATTAGAACTTTCCCCTTTGTGTTTCCTTCTGTAGATAGACTAATAATTTCTTGCGGTGGCTACTCAGAAACAAGAGGTGATATGGGAGTGGGTGGAAGATTGGTAGTATGCACTGGTGCCCACTAGTTGCAGTTATTTTGAGCAGAAGGTAATGGAGATTGGTTTCTGGCAAGTTTTGAGTTTAGCCTCGATTTCTAGCCCCAAAATAATGTGATCAGCCTATATCTATATCCTATTAATTCATTATATTCTTTTATTTACCAGTTCTTGAGAGGTCATATGTCTAGATTAGAAATAAATTTAAAAAATAATCAGAAATTCTGTCTAGGTAAAAACTAATTCCTACAAATGACCCCAGAAAGAACAGCAGGAGAATGAAAAAACAGCACAGATAATCTTTAGCTCCCCGCTTCCTATACCTCACTGCTTTTCTAAACCCAATATTTTACTTCTTACTGATGTTTCATATGTTCCTGTAGCTTGAAAGTAAATTTTAAAATGAGATTTTGTGGGAATATAACTTGTATTCTAGTTTGAACTTTTATCTTGTGAACAAATTTAATATACAGCAAAGGAGAAAGAATACTGACAGGAATATCATATACTCACCACATAGGTGCAACAATTACCATCTTGCTTATTTATTTCACTTTTGTTTTGATGAACCATTTCAAAGTAAATAAAATGTCAAACTACTTTATCCATAAAAACTTCATGTGTATCTCTAGAAAAATAATATTCTCCTTCACAATGTCAGTACTACTATCACACCTAACACAATTAAAAACAATTCTGTATCATCATTTAACACCTACATCATATTCAAATTTCTAATGCTGTCTACATTCTAATATCTAACCTGTATTCAAATTTATTTTTAGCTATTTGTTTTGAATCTGAATGTGATTAAGAATCACACATTGCAACTGATGGCAATGTCTTTTAAATCTATTTTTCTCTAAAAATAGATTTAAATATAGCATATGTAAAGAAAAAAATCGCAAATAGTAAACAATCAGTTCGCTGAATTTGTATAAACCAAACATAAACAGCCATTTCAATAAATAGAACATCATCAGAATACCATAATCTTCCCTTTAATCCCCCAACAATTTTTTAAGGTATAAGATGAGATATTTTTCTCTTGCTTTTGATGAAGTGCTTTACGATGTAAAGAATAAAGTTCTTAGGAAAGATGATCCTGGTATGAATGAAAGGATCTTTGCCCAGCAGGGAAAAGTTCTTTTACTTCTAATAATATTCTGGAGTCATTTCTTATGCTAACATAATACCATAATGCAGACATTTCTGTCTTCTGACATTTTTATTATCTGTGAAATGAATGTACTCATCTGGAATTATTTTCTTAGGACATATTGATTTCTTTTTAAAAACTGTACTTTTTGAACCTATTTATGATGCTGCCGCTAAAATTTTTTATCCAAAGCCACAGTATTCATTACATATTATTAGGACAGATTTTTGTTTTTGTTTGTTTCTTTTTTGTCTTTCATATATCTATGATCACCACATCATAACTTCCTACTGTGTTGCATTTAAAGTGATCTTTAAATGGCTTAATTACAGCCACAACCAATACTAGCAATTATGATGTTTTACATTCAGAAATAATTGTTAAATCCGCGTGAAAGATGTTTGCCTCCTCTTTCAGTCATTTAGTTAGGTCAAGGATCCCAAGTTAGCTTTTAACAAAGTTATTTTAGGCCACTGTTTCCACACCAAACAGTATTTTGGTGTTCAAAATAAAGTACTTGAGAAATAATCGGGAAATATGAGAGATATTTTAATGTCTAAAAATATTAGTCTTGGGGGAGAATACGTACTTGCTTACATTTTGGCATACACAGAAACTTTAAGTATAATTAGGTTTAATTTTTTAAAGGGGTCATATGCAAAGCTGATCATATTTAGGTTGTTAATTTTGAATGCTTTGAATATTTTAAGTAACTAGTTAAGTGCCAAAGGTACGCTGGGGATAGACAAATGCTTTCACCCAGCTGTTCTGAGTTTTATAGAACCTTGAACTCTAGTGTCACAGAATTTATAGTTAAAGCTACTAGCTATCAAGAGAATTTATGGATTGATTGATAGTAGAATAATTGACTTAGATTGTTTGGTAGTAGAATAATTGACCTCAGGTAGGGTCTAGTCTAGAATACTGTACTCTTAAGTTTTTGTATCTTTCTCTTCATGAATACATTGGATTTTCAATGTTTTAAATGAAATGTTTTGGCTATCACAAGCTCACTGATGTGGCAATAAGTTTTTGCTGAGATACGATCTATCACCATTAACAAAATTTAAAAAAAGGAAAAAAAAACTTTAGAAACCAGGACCTATGCTTTTGGAATCAATTTTCTATAATTATGTAATCCTGTGTATTCCTAAAGCTGGAATAATCTAATAAGTTGCAGTGATTGAGATCATATTTTTTTTTCTTCCAATGATTACTTATGTAGCTAAGATTAACTGGGTGGTTATAATTAATGCTTCACTACATCTTTCTACCTCTTACTTATGACCTGTCATATTCATCCTGAAAATGCAAAGCACCTATTATTCCCATTTAAGTTTGAAAATATTTAAAATGGTCATAATGTCTCTCTTTTTGGAATTTCAGAAATTCAAGACTCCATGGAGGAAGTTTTTTACATCCATGCCAGTCTATGCAATAATTGTTGCAAACTTCTGCAGAAGCTGGACTTTTTATTTATTGCTTATTAGTCAGCCAGCATATTTTGAGGAAGTCTTTGGATTTGAAATTAGCAAGGTATGTAAAATGTATTCTTATATAAATTGTGGATTACCTATGTATTTAAGTGAATTTTAAATTCATTTACAAAAATTTTTGTCTTCTAATTTTCAGAGATTATTCATTTATTCATTAAACAACTGCTAGGAAATAGAAGCAAAGTAAAATGTTTCAGTGTCTACTGTATTCTATTGTCTGCTAGAATTGCTCTCTGGTACTGAGAATACAGGCAAAACAAACCTAGTTTTTGCCTTCATGGAACTTACAGGCCAGTTGGGGTGAGCAGCAGTGTAATCTTTTCCCTGTAAATAAGCATAACTCCCTTTAAGTCTCAGGTCACAGACAATGTAACAAACAAAAAAAGTTTTCCACTCAAATATAATTGTACTTACTAATTTCCAATCTAATTATTCTTCAATGCTCTAGAACTCTCATCCAGCGAAAAGATAGGAGGATTGTAAAAGAAAATCTGAAAACATTTTTATACTTTGTCCATCCAATTTATTAATTTAACAAGTATTTGTTGAACACAATGTGCAGAACTTTATGTGAGATGCAGAAATAAAAACATGGTTTCTGTCCTCAAAATGCTCACAGCTTGGTGGTATAAACATGAAAATAAGTTACCAATTAGAATACAGCATGCAAACTTCCACAGACATTTGTTCATAGCTATGGGAATATAATCATCTTGAGATTTTCTATAAGGGTAAAATGAATATAAAAATACTACTCTATATTTATATAGGAACTCGAAATTTAGAAACTACTCTCATATTCATGAACAACTTTTGCTGGTTGATCTGTTGAACAACAGTTATAATTTCTATTGAAATGATGGGGAAACAGAAACTAGGGAAAGTAATTAAATTGCTTAAAGCCACGCTAGTAATGCATGACAAAATCAAATTTAGACAAAGATTCTTTGATTTTTGTTTAATTATCTTCACTATGCCATTCAAATTCAGGTAAATCATATATCCATTCAAGTATTTAGTGAGTATCTGCTCAATGCCATCTCTGTGTCAAGCCCTTTGTTGAGTCCTGAATACATTGTCTGTGCTGGCAATGGTCTTGCTATCTCTCTTCATGTCATTACATAAGTCCAGCTGGGCTCGCTATTCATATTCTGTCTCTACTTGAAAGACTGAGACCTGGGACTGAAGAAAACCTCAGTTTAGGAGTAGCTATTCTAAGAGCTCTTTTGTAATTCCTGTTTCTAAGGAAACTGTTTCCTCCATCCTAGAGAAGAATGGCTGCTTTAGACAGAGCTCTTCTCTCTAGAGCTGATCAAACATTCCAGGGTAGCCTTTGGGAGCTCTGAGAGGTGTTATACTTCTCAACAAAGGCTGCTGGAGGTGTGAGTCCATTTTCATAATCTAGGACAAATATGACACTGAGAGGCTATGAATAAAGTCAGGTCTTGGGGGGAGAGTGACGAAGCCAACTGATGTTAATGAAACTATGTGGTCATTTTGGCCCTCTAGCTCCAATTAATTGAGGATGCTTGAGTAAAAGCAATGGTATTTTGTAAAAACTAATTATAAATCAACCAGCAGATGGGTTGGTTTATTTCATTCATTAGTTATATTTTTAACGAAAATTGTGGATAAATTCACACAGACACATTGGTCTTCATATACTAATTAGATTGGTTTAAAAAATTCTGACTTAGCTGAAAAAAATTGTATAGGACATGCTGGAGAACACAGAGAATTAGATTCGGGTCTAAGCTGACATGGCTTCAAATTCAAGGTCTACAACAAAGTATTGGTATATAATCTTGGGCATAGTTTTGAGTAATTATCGGCTTCAATTTTCTTATCTCTAAATAATGGTATTAACTTAATACCATTAAATAATAAGGATATTATTTAAAAGCTGCATCCAAATTTAGGTAAAGTAAGTAAAATATTTACATGGAAGATCATTCTCTTCAACTTTAGCTAAATTGGGTATCCTACAGAAAGAAACATGAGTGCAATGGCTTAATCTTCATTCTAATTATACTGACTTGGTTAAGACAGCACCATATATATAAATAAAATTATAACATAGATTTTATATCCGTTAACTATATAAGTTAATTATATTATTTAACTGATATATATATATAAAATTATATACTGGCATAAGCTAATACAATATATATCAGGTATATATATTTTTATTTTTATTTTCTAAAACACACAAACACACATATATATATATAATTTAATATATTATATCAGCCTATGCTTATATGTAACATTTTCAGGCCCTTGAAAATGGCATATCAGCAGGTCAGTGACAGGATTAACCAGCACTTTGAAAGGTCAGATTATAAGGGGCAAGCCAAATGAGAACAGACGTCCACTCCTTTTGAGCTTCCTATTTAAGGAGGAGAAGAATAGTGGTGGCTGGCTGTGCTTTGCTGCTATTTCTGAACAGAATATGGATCAGATAGGAAGACATACGATCTAGACTATGACCCAGAAAAGCTAAAAGAAGGCTGGGACAAAAATCTAATTACTGGAGTTTCTATGAAGAATAAATCAGTTATAAGCTCAAAAACATTTATCCTATCCTTTCAAAACCTTAAAATAATAAGCAAACTTTTATGTAATTGACATAAATGATCTTTAGGAAGGTTTTAATCATTTTGATCATGTGACAAGTGATTCCTCATAAGTCCCCAAAAGCCAAGAAGACCACTGAATAACTCACAAACTTTTGAAACCTCTTTGGCTCTTTTGAGGTGAAATACAGAGTATATCCACATATTGTTTAAGAAACTAGGAGAGTCAATACCTTTAAATGTTAAATCAATACGCTAAAATAGCCTAAAACTTGTCTGATTAACCCTGTAGATTGTTAGCACCTTGCATTTTCCATAGTGCTTTGCATACCCATTGCTGAAAGTGTGAAAAAATAACCATAGCTTTGTTCCTTTCTTATCCAAAGTAGTCAAAATGATTGTCCGAATAGATAGTAAATAACAGAGGATTTTCAATTAAAAAACTTTTCAGACTTATTAAACACTGGGTAAAAATGCAAGTCGTTTATGTGGACTTAGGCAATGTGGTTACTTCCAAACTTTTAGCCTGCCTTTATAAATGCCAAAAACATACCATGTAATTCTACACAAATCATAACCTAGTGTCTTTCAGAACGTTTTTGTTTTGTTCAAAGGTTTCTACACATTGACTGCTTGAAATATATTTACTCCATATTAAGAGGAAAAAGCCCTGTAGTTTTCTCAAGATACTAGTCTCAAAAGCAATAATGGTTTTTTTTTTTTTTTTTTTTTTTCTCCTAATGTCAGTTTACCTGACGTCTTTATTTAGGTACCTGTTGAGCCCCTGCTATATACCAAGTTTCGTACTAGACTAAGCACATTAATATATATCGTCTGATTTCATTTGATTTTTCCTTCTCATGGCAGTGGTGCCAAGTATAAAGGCTAAGAGCCCAGTCTTTGGACTCAGGTAGAACTGATTCAAAACTTGACTCTCACAATCACTTAAGTCTTCTGACTCTCAATTTTTTTTAACTTAGTAAGAAGAATATTAATATCATCCATCTGGGATGGAAGAGATCATTATGTAGTCTGAACAGTTAACCTATTGTGGAATCATTTACTATTTCAATTAATCATTACAACTCAAATCCATGATTGTGATATCATACTATATACCCGTGTAAAATAAAATAGAATCTTTGTGTCAAACCTTCGATAATCTAATTGGAAAGACATACTTAAACACACATTATGAATGCCATCTGCCAAAAATTGTTTTTCAAAGTTTACTTAGTAAAAAAACTTCCTTATATGTTTATATTCAAAGTTTATTAAGTCCACGTATGTGGTAATACATAATTTAAATGCATTTTATTTATACTTACTGTCCCCATAATGCTTAGAACACAGTGCTTTGTGTGTAAGTAATGGTTAAAAATATGTGTTTAACTGATCCTGGTGGGTAAAGTTTGAAATTAGGCTATTTAGCATGAAATTAATTGAGAAACTACATGCCACAATACAAAAATGTGATCAAGTATTGATATTTGATGCAGAAAATACTTAAAATTGAAGAAATTATCTGCATTATCTGGGATCTTACTCTACAGAAATTATGTCTGTGCTTTTTACTCATAAGATATCTATAAAGTACAAATATGCATTTTTCCCATATGAATTAAACATAAATTTAAAATACAGCCTCTTCAAGATGTGACAAATGTATTTTTCCTCTCTGTCTCTCTCTCGCCACTTTTGCTCTCTTTCACTAAGGATGTATTTGTGCAAACACATTTAACAATATCAGAAGAGTTGAATCATACTCAAAATTTACTGATGCATTACATAGCAAAAAATATATATGTATTACTTCTCACAGAAGGTCGAAAGGGATCCAAGTAAATTTGCTTAGCTTTTCTCATGTATTCTGTGGAAAGCATTACTTATTCTAGGAATGAGCAAGTGATCATTTGGAAAGAGTATTTTTCCTTCGTTTGTCCATAAAAATGTAATGACAGATTCAGAAACTAAGGCCATTAAATTACCCATATTATTTACGGTTATGTCTGTTTCTCCCCCTTCTTGTTTTTCATCAGGTTGGCATGCTATCTGCTGTGCCACACTTAGTAATGACAATTATTGTGCCTATTGGGGGGCAAATTGCAGATTTTCTAAGAAGCAAGCAGATTCTTTCAACTACAACAGTGAGAAAGATCATGAATTGTGGTGGTAAGTACATAAGTGGCACTAAGGACATGTTTTTAGTTCAATCAGTTTAACCTACATGAGAAAATAACTTTTTCTACACAGATCAAATTACTTAGATGCAGTTGCATTTGTGCCTTCATTGTTCACTTAAAATAACTTCCTCATACTATGTCAAACTTTTCATAACTCCTAGTTTTAAGTAACTGCTTTATAATGCCATTTGTGGCTGGGCACGGTGGCTCATGCCTATAATCCCAGCACTTTGGGAGGCCGAGGTGGGTGGATAATGAGGTCAGGAGTTTGAGACCAACCTGGCCAACATAGTGAAACTCCATCTCGACTAAAGACACAAAAAATCAGCTTGACATGGGGGTGGGTGCCTGTAATCCAGCTACTTGGGAGGCTGAGGCAGGAGAATTGCTTGAACCTTGGAGGCAGAGGTTGCAGTGAGCCGAGATCGCACCATTGCACTCCAGCCTGGGCAACAAGAGTGAAACCCTGTCTCAAAATAAATAAATAAATAGATAAATAAATAAATAAATAAAGCCATTTGTATTTATTGTAACTAACTTACCTCTTTCCATCATTGAAACTTTAGGTTGTTTTGGATGTTTTTCTTTGTTTGTTTCTGTGTTTTTGAGATGGAGTTTCACTCTTATTGCCCAGGCTGGAGTGTGATGGCATGATCTCAGCTCACCACAATCCCCGCTTCCCGGGTTCAAGCGATTCTCCTGCCTCAGTCTCCAGAGTAGCTGGGATTACAGGCACGGGTGACCATGCTCGGCTAATTTTGTATTTTTACTAGAGACTGGGTTTCTCCATATTGGTCAGGCTGGCCTCGAACTTCTGACCTAAGGTGATCCTCCCACCTTGGCCTCTCAATGTTCTGGGATTACAGGCATGAGCCACCACATCTGGCCTGGATGTTTTTTATTAAAACACAAGGAAAGCTTCATGAATCTCTAGGATAATAATTATAAATAAAATAAATATAAATAAAATAAATATAAATAAAATTATAAAATAAAAATTATTATTATTATTATTATTAGTTTGGAAAATAGACTCTCTGAAGTGGAATTTCTAGGTTAATAAATTGGAACATTTTTAGCAGTTTTGGCTCACTGGTAAAATTTCAAAAATTTCTGAAGAATTTCTATGTGTTTGCTTCTGAAGGTTTTGGCATGGAAGCCACACTACTCTTGGTTGTTGGCTATTCTCATACTAGAGGGGTAGCAATCTCATTCTTGGTACTTGCAGTGGGATTCAGTGGATTTGCTATATCTGGTAAGATATATATTTTTTCTTTGTACTTGGGACATTCTGATTTTAACTGCTGATAAAAAGGCACATACATATATCTTTTTATAGATATCTTCATATATATCTTTTATAGGTTGAATAATAGTCAAATATTTCCACTAGAAAATGAAAAAAATAAAATATTTAGAAAACATTTAGATTTGTTAATACTCAATGTCCTCCTGGACTGCCTTTTTTTGTTGTTGTTAAGAAAACATTACCTCCTCTCTGGAGTGAACATCACATATTAAGTGTTGGATAAGAATTCATACCTCATTCTATTCTCATTATATCCCCAAGAGAAATTATCACAACATAATTAAGCACGTGCTCTGAACCCAGTATATTTTAAGGAGTTGTGATGTGTGGTTTTACAGGTACTTACTTTTAAGAAGTTTAGGATCCCCTGAGTCAAAACTTATGTGTGTATTTCAGGTTTCAATGTTAACCACTTGGATATTGCTCCAAGATATGCCAGTATCTTAATGGGCATTTCGAATGGTGTTGGCACATTGTCAGGAATGGTTTGTCCTATCATTGTTGGTGCAATGACAAAGAATAAGGTAAGGTGGCCAAAACAGATGTTTATTCATAGAAGACAGTTTCTCAAAATGATAATCTTTTTGGAAAAGAGTTAAAATATTATCCTTAGTATTCTCTTTCTTGTCCAGTTACCACATCTCTGAGTGGGAAAGATAAATGAGACTCAGAATAAAAAATCTTTTTAAGAATTCCAAGAAAGTCAATTTCCCTAACCAATAAGCAATAGGTTTCTCAACCCTTTTTAATAATTCTGATACCCCTGATGTGATAAAAACCCCCTTTTTCTCTGGCTTATTAAAATACTCAAGCAGATGTCTTCTGAGCTTTATTTCTAAACCTCAATTCAGATTCCTCCGCAGTTGTCCAAGGGAGAATATTATCATCAGCTATTTGTACTTATATGTGTAGGCAGAGCTTCAAAATTCTGGTTTACTAGAAGTAAAGAAACAAAAGAAATGGAATAAAAAGATAAGTAAATCAATGGAAATGAAAAGAGATTATGAATATTTTAAAAATCAGCAGGCCATAGATATATTTGGAATTTTATTTCTAAACTTCTAGATTTAAAAGATCAAATAATAAAAGTAATAGTATTACAGAAGTGTTATATAGAGTGTTTGCTTCACATAATCAGTACATGGATTTCCCCAAATACAGTGTTTCATGAAAATTCAGTGGTGGTGTAGTCAGAGAAGACGTTAGGCGTTTAAATCATGGGGAGTCTGTTCTCACAGTGCTGCTTTTTGTCACTGCAGTCACGTGAAGAGTGGCAGTATGTCTTCCTGATCGCTGCCCTAGTCCACTATGGTGGAGTTATATTTTATGCAATATTTGCCTCAGGAGAGAAACAACCCTGGGCAGACCCTGAGGAAACAAGTGAAGAAAAATGTGGATTTATTCATGAAGATGAACTTGATGAAGAAACAGGGGACATTACTCAAAATTATATAAATTATGGTACCACCAAGTCTTATGGTGCCACAACACAGGCCAATGGAGGTTGGCCCAGTGGTTGGGAAAAGAAAGAGGAATTTGTACAAGGAGAAGTACAAGACTCATATAGTTATAAGGACCGAGTTGATTATTCATAACAAAACTAATTACTGGATTTATTTTTAGTGTTTGTGATTAAATTCATGTGATTACACAAAAAATTTAAAAACACGTGATATAAACATGTAAACATATCAACCAGGCAAGACTTGCTGTTAAAATGAAAACAAAACAAACCCATGAGGTTACCATCAAGTGCAATCTGTAAAATTGTGAAGTTCCATCATTTCCATTCAAGTCATCCATTCTTGCATTTGTGACTTAAAAGGTTGACTGGTCAAAATTGTAGAAACAAGTAGTTACCCTTTGGATTCATATGAGCTAAAACTCATCACTATTTAATAAAGCACAACATCTCATCCTACAAAACTTAGGAAGCCAAAGCTACTTGATCATGCAAAACGCACTTACATATTTGTTACACTGTATTGCAGGATAGCATACAGAAGTTGGCTGCATCAGGTAGAGGCGACATTTATTAAGTGAAAATCAGGGAGTTGGGATATGTCTCAAAGAAGTACATTGTGAACTATCAGCTGCAAAGTTGTACTGAATAACTATTTGAATTGCATAATGTAAGATATTTTGTTAGTCCTCAAAAGGAGTATCTTGCAGTCTTTTCTATGAAATGCTTGGCCACAAACACTTATTTCTGTGAAAGAGAACATGTAAATTGAGGGGTATGCTTCATGTTCTTCCATCCATTTACCTAACAGTATGAAACACTTCACATTTCAATAAAATCAAACTTTTCATGTAGCATATCACATAACTTTTTTGCAAAAAATATAAAAAGAAATAAACTTCAATGTATTTTTATTACAACTTTGTACTGGTTGTAACTTGCATTAGAAAAAAAAGAGATATATACACCACAAAGAATCTAATAAGAAATTTACTATGGAAATATAGCCCTTAAAATGCAATATTAAGAACAAAGAAATAGAAAATGGTTTAGATATCCTTCTTCCTTCATGATTAAATACTATATGAAACTTGTGCCACAGAGCTATATATAATATGAAAAGATTAACTTCATAGAGATATTGTAAGTAGGCAATTTTATTATCTAAAGTCCTATTAAGAAATATTTGTCTTAAATATATAGGACAATAAATTATATTAAAATGGTCTCTCTCTATATATATCTGTATATCTTATACATGTCCATACACAGAAACATAATAAACAATGTTCACACAAAACCAAAAATAGCATACACCTAATGTTGGGTTAGGGAATTGCAATTTCTACTTTCATAGAGTCATAGAATTTTAGGTGGGGAAGAGGCATTTTGCTTGTCATTTCTTAATATAACTCAACAAGAATTGCAACATTTGTGTACCAAGCAATAAGTGCAATGCATACAATTTCCTGTCTGTATATTACCTTCATTTTGCTTGTAGTAGCCGTTTGGGTGGTTGGAATGATTTTTTTTTTCTTTTAAAAAAGCTAACATCAGACCTCTTTATAATGTCCTAAAATTATGATAATGCATTTCCCAATTCAACTCAAAATATTATTGGTGTATTTTGTCTATTCTGGATATTTGATCTGTTCATTGTATTGTGCTAGTGACTGGAGGCCCTGCTACTGCAAATATAAAACATGAAGTTTGTTTTAAAAATGCAAATCATTCTTTACCTTAAGAAAAAAAATACCCTTTGCTTTGTGCCTCAAAGTGATGTAATGTGATCACAGCTTTTGTTGTGTTGAATGAAAATATGTGGACTGTCATTTTGTTGCAGCAAAAAAGTGTTAATAAAATGCTCTATTTATCCTTTCTTAAAAAGCCGTGCATTAATCATCCATTAATTTGGATTTATTTTGTTTAGTTTTTAGCTTTAATATGAATTTAGCTGGTGGAGGCTCCAATGAAGCCAAATATAAGCTTCAAGAACAACAAGAACCTTTTGACCCATTGGGCGTTTAATGAAAGAACATGGCACTCTTTAGATTGTGTGGGATGTGACTCCATAGAGTTTTAAATCAAGAAATAGGTCTCTGAGTCAAACTCCAGATTTCAATGAGTTTTCTCACAACTGCTGCTAAGTTCAAAGAAAAATTTAGGAAAAAACTCAAAACAAATCACATCAGTATTACCACCTAATTTTAACTGCACACATACCCTGTGCTAGGTAACTGTCCTAGTCATTTTTTGGTATAGGATCTCATGTAACTACACAGTGATCATCCAAAGTAGGTACTCTTTTTATTCCCAGCTTGTAAATGAAGAAACAGAAATTTAGAAGCTAAAATGTTATAATGGCATTATATTATAATATTTCAGCCAAACTAATTAGCAGTAAGCAAGCTTTATCAAGGCAGCCAAAAGAATGTCTTTGTGAGTGGAATGGAAATAATTTAGCTCAGATTCCCTAACTCACAGGAATATAGAAGATGATAGGGGTAAATATGTGTAGAATCTATATATAGAATCTATAAAATCTAAGACTCATAGAACTTTACTGCTCAGAGGACTTAGGAGATGATTCAGTTGATACCTGTTGTTGAATGAAGGAGAACACTGAAGGCCAATAAAAGGAACAGACTTGATCAAGGGGACTCAGAGATTGTTAATGGAATTGGAAAGAAATTTTGATGACTAGCTGTGCATTTATTTTTATTTTCTCTGTAAATAAGATTTCTATTTGAGTTAATTAAATGACCATTTATTGCTTCTACCACTACTCCCATGTCCACCACTCATATCTTCCAATCTTCTGCATAAAGAAACAATGGCCAGAGACCCAGCCTAATTCTTAAGCAGGTTCACAGGCCAGGCCATTCTCTGTAGAACTTGATAGCAGGAATAAAAATGACTTGAATTTAACACTATATAATTTCCCCAGTTCTAAAACAAAAAGTTTACATTTCTCATAAGAAAATTGTTCTTACCTGGGAGAAATGGAACATGCCTGTAGTCCCAGTGACTCCTGAGGCTGAGCTAAAAGGATCACTGTAGCCCAGGAATTGGAGGCTGTGGCACACTATGATTGTGTCTATGAATGGTCACTGCACCCCAGCCTGAGCAACAGAGTGACACCCATCTCTAAAAAAATTGTTCTGATGATGTCTCCAAATATTACCACTAGCCACATTCATTTTCTCATCTCTCAATCCCAAAAATTCATTGTCCCCTTCTCCTCTTCCTCTCTGCCTTTTTTTTTCCATTTTCCTCCTCATTATCATATGTATCTTTTTTTGCAGTTTGCAAAATGTTTTCCTATGAATTGCCACATTTTGTCTTCACATCTGCCTTTTAAAATTAAAAGACCAAGTATCATTATTGGTATTTCTATTTTCCAGGTAAGGTGGACAGGTCTAAGAGAGTGTAGTAAACTTCCTAAAGATTCCCCAGGCAAAGATAGAACTAGAATACAGACTATCTGGCCACAGCAAGAGAGCATTTTCTTTTTACTTTTAAGTCATTTTATTACCTTTCTGATTATAAATGTAGTGTTTGGAGAATAGGGGAGTTTCATTAGGTGTAGGACAGCATTAAAAACAATGAAAATAAAGTAATCAATAATTATTCTACCCAGGGATAAGCACTGTTAACATTTCGAAAGTCCTTTCTGTGAAAAACACACATAAAACTTACATTCTACTAATTAAATAATATTGCATATTATTTAGTTTCCAAGTTCAAAATTATGCTTGATTTACTACTGCTACCTAATGTTCATTTAACAGTAGAACATGTGTATTTTCCTATTTGAATAATAAAGTTCTATAATCTAATATTCAATTATTTAATAAGAACTATAGTTCATCTATCTATCCCATACCTTATTTATGAAACATTTTAGTTATTTCCAATATTTGGCTGCTATAATGATTGGTGTTATGAACATCTTTGTGTTACCATCTTCGCACGCTTTTCGCTTTATAATGTGTGGACCCTTTTGGGAAATGCAAAGTGACATATACACATCTTCAACTTCTATAACCATGATGGATAATCAAGTTACCATTTGTGGGTTATTATTCCTGTATTTTTCTACAGGAAATACTACTGGCAAATTGTCTTTTCTGGGGTTCACTTACTAATTAATTTGTTCAACTCAATAAATGTTTATTAATCACTCATACTATGGGAGATACTGAGGATTCACTGGTGAGAAGATGACCCAGTCCCTCAGGCATTTATTTACATGGTCCCCAGTTGCCCAGCAAGATGTGACACAAATGTGACTGAGAGAAGCTTCTGGACACAGGACCCTAAGTAACAACCCTGAAAAAGGAATTTTCTTAATCTTCCAAACTCCTGAAGATGAAATGCCTTCAAGTTGCTCCCCATGTCAAACTGATCGATTGATTGATCGTAGTTTCAGGTGAGGAATCTTCTCTCAGCCTCAGAAAGCCTCATGCTGCAGGGAGTCTAGGTCATGGAAGATACCAGCATCTAGTGTCTCCAGTACCTGAATCTCTGTAGAAGAGATGGTCTAATCTTTTAAGTGTGGTTTCCAGTTCTTCAAATTTCTTTTTGTTGTGTTCCTTTTCTGGGCTTCTCATGAGCTGTAAATTTTCTCTTTCCATTTCTTCCTTCATCTACTCTTAGTTTTAACCACAAATAGAGACTACTAAGATTTAATTCTTTTGGTAGTGACATAATTAGCAGGAATTTTAATTTTTTTCTTTCTATCTTTATTCAAGAACTCAGACCTGAATTTTCATTCAGCTATGTCAAAAACACCTTATTTGTAAAGGTTTGTCTAACACTGTTCAGTCACTTAAAGTGTTCAAGCTTCGCCAAGGTTTTCCCTAAATGCAGCTAGGCATCTAAAAATTGCATTAGCTGGATGTATCATCCTGACCACTGCCCATATTCCACATCATTTATTGAATGAAACCCTTAGCTTTCAACGAGAGCAAGCAAAATGAAGAAATCTCTCCAGTCTTGTTAAACCACATTTGAGGACGTGTTTTATTACTTTGCCCAATGTGCATTAGATAAAGATCCTTGCCTTTCTAATAGTTTGAGGAATGCTTTTTGTGATGCACTCATGTGCTGTCAACAATTACACATGAAAGACATTAAGCCTGTCATGCTTCCTTCTTTGTTTCCTCTAGGGAGCTCCAAGATACAGTTTTTGACTCAGTTGTTATTTGTTATATTGTATATATACACATATGTATGTGTGTGTGTGTATATATATGTATATGTGTGTGTGTATATATATATACTCTCTTAATCTTTACAAAAACCTTTTGTGATAGGTACTATTGCAAACTTCATTTTATAAATAAAGGAACTTAGGCACAGAGAAGGTAAGGTACTTATGGAAGGTCACAGAGTTAAAATGTAAAGTTTGAATGTGAACCCAAGCCATTTGGCTTCATATCCTAAACTCTATCACTACAGTCCATGCCTCTGAATAGTTGTGTGACTTTTAGAAGTTCCTTAATTTATCTGAGCCTTGCTTTTTCTTCCATAATATGGTACTTTAATACCAAATTAGTAGTTAGTTTGTGACTAAATCGAATAGTATGAAATGCTTAACACAGCACCCTGTATATTAATACAGTGTAATAAATGCTTAATGTATGTAAACACGTAAGTGTTTAACAAACGTCATTTCTCTGCACCCTTTCCTTATGATGCTAAGTAAATATAAGGTATTAACTCTTCAAGTGTGATGGTAATGTCAGATCCATCACAATGGACCATTTTGGAAACTATCTTGAGGTATTTTTATTTTTAACACTACTAAGTTACTCAGATTGGTTACCTAAATTACTTTTCTATTTATATTTTATAAATTTTATATGACATAAAACAAGTACAGAACAACAGGCACTATAAAACACTACGCTGATTTTTTTTTTTTTTTTTTGGCTGAAGCCAGAAAGCATAAAAGAAAGTTCAAATTTGGCCTTTTTCCAATTTGAAAGAATATCTGAAGCAAAGAATAAAATATCAATATTTCTTTATTCTGAGAATCCACATATCTATTTTTATTATATTTTATGCTACTTTTCTGTGTTTCAAAATACAAAACCCAGTAAACGAGATATAGTCTTTTTGCTCTCCAGTCTTTTTTTTAATCTCTGTGCTGCCAATTAAGACGTTGCCATAATCTTCAAGAACACTTGACAGTTTTCTGAAGCCATAAATTTTACAGCATTGGCAGAATGTTTTCATTTTATTAAAAAAAAAGGTAAAAAAGGAATTATACACATTTATGAACAGGTTTATGAATCCAAATGAAGTTCTTTTGCACAAAGCCAACAAAAGTGTGCATAAGAATAAATGTCACAGATAAAAGCCATCTTTCCCACAGATCTCATCAGAGTCTATTGGACTGCTTCTTGAGGATTTAAAAAAAGGGGGGGCAATGTGGTGGGGGCACGTGTCTACCTCCACAAATGGAAGGTAGAAATTAGTATGTCACCGTTAGGCTAAAGGCACATTTATGGTCTCAATTCCAGTTGCAATGGGGATAGCAGAAGAAACAGAACTGTTTGGGTTTGAGCCCTGAACCTGCCACTTCCCTTAGGTAAATACAAGGCATGTCATGCCAGATCTCTGAGCCTCAGCTTCCCCATCTGGAAAATAAGGAATTGGTCTGCTTCAATGGTTCATGAAATCTCAGCTCCAAAATTTTCTGGCTTTAATCTCTCTGACAAATTACTAAATTCCTCAGGTCAACTTGAAGAAATATAATAAATTGTTCTCAGAATTCAATCAAATATGAGACTGAATGTTTACTTTCTGCCTATATTTCTACTGACTTTATTAGCCACTCATTTTGATAACTAATAAGATAGAAGTTATGGGAGAGAGAG